TCCGACTGTGATCTGAGAACCTCACACCCCAATACCACACCCGGTCCGACTGTGATCTGACAACCTCACACCTCGACACCACACCAGGCCCGACTGTGATCTGACAACCTCACACCTCGACACCACACCAGGCCCGACTGTGATCTGACAACCTCACACCTCGACACCACACCAGGCCCGGCTGTGATCTGACAACCTCACAACTCGACACCACACCAGGCCCGACTGTGATCTGACAACCTCACACCTCGACACCACACCAGGCCCGGCTGTGATCTGACAACCTCACACCTCGACACCACACCAGGCCCGACTGTGATCTGACAACCTCACAGCGCTCGAATCAGTGCCAACAAGGCCTGCGAGTGTCGCATCAGGAGGTGGCGCGCACCGGGGATGTCCGATGCCTTCACGAATTCGAGCCTCCGCTCGCCCGGCCCGTTCGCACACGTGACCCACACGTGGCCCACGCGTGACCCACGCGTGGCCCACGCGTGACCCACGCGTGGCCCACGCGTGACCCACGCGTGGCCCACACGTGACCCACGCGTGGCCCACACGTGACCCACGCGTGGCCCACACGTGACCCACGCGTGGCCCACACGTGACCCACGCGTGGCCCACACGTGACCCACGCGTGGCCCACACGTGACCCACGCGTGGCCCACACGTGACCCACGCGTGGCCCACACGTGACCCACGCGTGGCCCACACGTGACCCACGCGTGGCCCACACGTGACCCACGCGTGGCCCACACGTGACCCACGCGTGGCCCACACGTGACCCACGCGTGGCCCACGTGTGACCCACGCGTGGCCCACGTGTGACCCACGCGTGGCCCACACGTGACCCACGCGTGGCCCACACGTGACCCACACGTGGCCCACACGTGACCCACACGTGGCCCACACGTGACCCACACGTGGCCCACACGTGACCCACACGTGGCCCACACGTGACCCAGCAGAGTACGACGCCCGATCTCCCAGGGCGATACGGTGACAATACCAAGTGTGGGGCGGTCTTCATCCAGCAGTGGATTGACAAAGGGCTGCACATTATTATTACGTTCCTTAACATTGGTGACGTGCAAATCAAATGCTCGTATGTAAATGTTCCTGTATCACGCGGAGTCCCCCTGTATACGCAAAGCTGCCTGTGCGTGCGTGCAGATGCTAACTCGTTCGTTTGTTCGTTTCTCAATCCACTTATTCTGGTGAGGTTCGCGGCGGCAGCAAATTGAGCAATGCGTTCCAGACCTCCCTTTCCCTGGCGACGTACTCTAGCTCTTTCTGGGGAATTCCCGGGGGCTCCCAGGCCAGGCGAGCTACACGGTCCCTGCCAGCGTGCTCCTGCGCCGGTCCCAGGGTCTTTGCCCAGTGGGACGCTGCTGCTGCTGCCCTGTAGAGTTCCAGGGGGAGTCTACCGGGAGGCATCGTGACCGGGTGCCCGAACCACCTCGACTGGCTCCTCTCGATCCGGAGGAGCAGCGGCTCGACCCTGAGGCTCTCCCGGATTACCGAGCTCCTCAACCGATCACGCAGAGTGAGCCCGGCAACCCTGTGGAGAAACTGAATTTCGGCCTCTTGTAGCCGCGATCTAATTTTTTTTGGTCATTACCCAAAGCTCATGATCATGATGCGTGTAACACAATAGTGTACGTATTACACATTTATATGTTCTTGTATGATTCTATATATATAAAACTCTAGGTATATATATACACACAAAGACAAATATCCATGAAAATCCTTAACAGACTGTTGGGGCAAGTGCTGTGAGTCAGCATGGCACATAACGGGTGGGTGGCCAGCACCATGCCCGGCCGTCTTTGTCTCCCGAGTGATAATGGCTACACAAATCGTACAAGGTACTCATTTGACGCCGAGTCGACCTAGGGGAGGCCCATGATCAACACTAATCGTCACCGGTGTTGGCCGCGAGCGGGAAACGAATTCGGGGTGGCTGGGGTTCGTAGCGCAGCGCGCTAGCCGCTACTACTACACTACCGCTCCCGCACAGATAGACAAAGTTCCCCCGTGTAGCCTGAACAGACTGTAGGGACAAGTGCTGTTAGTGAGCAGCACCTATGAAGGCCGGCACGGCACACGAGGGGGTGGGTGGCAAGCACCAGGCCCGGCCGCTTTTGTCTCCCCAGTGGCGATGTTTACACCACACCACACCAGGTACTCATTTGAGGCTGAGTCGACCTAGGGGAGGCCCAGGACCGGTTCAGATAATCGTCACAGGTGTTGGCCGTGAGCGGAAATCGAACCGGGCACGCTCACTTCGTCCTCAACACACATAGGGGAGTGAAACCGCACCACATGTACTGTAGTTAAACACGTACTGTAGTTAAACATGTACTGTAGTTACACATGTACTGTAGTTAAACATGTACTGTAGTTAAACATATGAAAGACATGCAAGGATCGTCCCTAGTCTTGTGTGGGATGGCGTTTTTAAACGAGGAAAAACAATGCGCTGTTAACGGGCCTGTGCCCGAAACGTCGACCATTATATTTTTCATCGAGGTTTCTGTTGTTGTTGGGTTATATCCAAGGCCGTAGCCATGGAGTCAACATTGAGGGGGGGGGGTGTCAAAATCTTCCAGGAGGTCTGGGGGTCCCTCCCCCAGAAAAAAAGATCTAAAGTTGAAAACTATTTTCCTGCCTCAAATATTAAAAACTTCACTAACACATGGGATGTTACAATAATGTCTAATAGTGTAATGTATTTACATTGCTCTGTTTTTACTTTTTTACCTTTTCTTGTTTCATTGTATGTAATGGCAGAGATTAGGGATTAATAAAGTACAACCACAATCATATAAACAGAAATCTACGCATTGTTCAATGAAGACAAGTCCAGATATTGTGGCCAAGGTTTAGCAAATTGTTGTTTTTATTTACATAGCATCGCAATTATTATTCTCTCAAATATTTTGTATAGAAATATATTGGGGGGGGGACATTTTGAGCATATTTGAATATATATTATAATTACGGCCTTGGCTAGATCGCGTAAATATAAAATGTGCCGTTAAACCTGCTACCACCCGACACAGCCACTAAGTAAGAGGAGTCACTTAAACAGAACTAGTAACTACTACTCGTAGTAGTTACGAGTCCTAGTTACTCGTGCAGCGCACCGGCGATCAAACCACAAAAAAGACCTCTATCATGGATGAAATTGCTCGCAAAAGCCGACAACGTGTTACACGATCACATTTGTTTTATTTTAAAAGCCACGCAAGTGTTGTTATTGACACGGAGGGTGTTTGAGTTCGTCTGTTAATTGTGTCAACATAGCAGCAGTAGCAGGAGGAGCAGTAAATCAACCTGGTTCGTATGAAGGAAGAATTCCGTCATTAATCGATCGAATCTAATTTGCGACCCCCAATCTACTCGAGTAAACGGAACTTTTGCTCAGCATTGGCGCCTACCGCTGTTACCGATGAATCCTAATAACGACAAAAAGGGCGTGGAGTGTCTCACACTGGCACGTGCTATGATTGTTTAGCGGCGAGTATCACGTGGGGTTCAGAGTATATTCTGGCGAGTGTCACGTGGTGAGTATAGTGGTGGTGGTGGCTGCAACGATGAATGATGAGTCTTAATAATGCCGAAACCGATCCACAGTTACGTCTCTTGGACTGATGCGGTGAGATTTGAGAGGCACCCGTTTGTGTAAACGCTCTGGGTAAAACGAGTCGATCCTCCCTTCTCTCACATCCAAATGGATCCCCTAAAACGTCCACGCCCGGCCGCCTTTGTCTTCCCCCCCCGGTGGCGATGTTTGCTACACGCGGCATGGGGTTCTCATTTGAGGCCGAGTCGATCTAAGAGAGGGGGCAGGACCGATCCAGACAATCGTCACTGCTGTTGACCGGTGGCCACGTGGAGCGGGACTCCAACTCGGGTGGCCTGGGTTCTGCAGCGCGCTAACCGCTGCGCCACCGCTCCCAACGGATTCGTAAAGAGCCACGGGGACACCCCAACGTGTCGTGTGGTGAGTGTCGTGGTGAGTGTGGTGGTGGTGAGTGTAGTGGTGGTGAGTGTGGTGGTGGTGAGTGTCGTGTGGTGAGTGTGGTGGTGGTGAGTGTAGTGGTGGTGAGTGTGGTGGTGGTGAGTGTCGTGGTGAGTGTGGTGGTGGTGAGTGTCGTGTGGTGAGTGTCGTGGTGGTGGTGAGTGTCGTGGTGGTGGTGAGTGTCGTGGTGGTGGTGAGTGTCGTGGTGGTGAGTGTGGTGGTGGTGGTGGTGAGTGTCGTGTGGTGAGTGTCGTGGTGAGTGTCGTGGTGGTGGTGAGTGTCGTGGTGGTGAGTGTGGTGGTGGTGAGTGTCGTGTGGTGAGTGTCGTGTGGTGAGTGTCGTGTGGTGAGTATAGTGGTGAGTGTGGTGGTGGTGAGTGTCGTGTGGTGGTGGTGGTGAGTGTGGTGGTGAGTGTGGTGTTGGTGAGTGTCGTGTGGTGAGTGTGGTGGTGAGTATAGTGGTGGTGAGTGTCGCGGTGGTGAGTGTGGTGGTGGTGAGTGTAGTGGTGGTGAGTGTGGTGGTGGTGAGTGTCGTGTGGTGAGTGTCGCGGTGAGTGTCGTGGTGGTGAGTGTGGTGGTGGTGAGTGTCGTGGTGTTGAGTGTGGTGGTGGTGAGTGTCGTGGTGAGCATAGTGGTGAGTGTGGTGGTTGTGAGTGTCGCGGTGAGTGTCGTGGTGGTGAGTGTGGTGGTGGTGAGTGTGGTGGTGGGGAGTGTCGTGGTGGTGATTGTGGTGGTGGTGAGTGTGGTGGTGGTGAGTGTCGCGGTGAGTGTCGTGGTGGTGAGTGTCGCGGTGAGTGTCGTGGTGGTGAGAGTGGTGGTGGTGGTGAGTGTGGTGGTGGTGAGGGTCGTGGTGGTGGTGAGAGTGGTGGTGGTGAGTGTCGTGGTGAGTGTTGCGGTGGTGGTGAGTGTCGTGGTGAGTGTCGTGGCGGTGGTGAGTGTCGTGGTGAGTGTCCTGGTGAGTGCCTCCTCACCCACGGCGCCGAGTAGCGCTGCCGCCAGGAGGCGATGGAGCCACACGCGGGAGGACATCGCCGCCGCCGCCGCCGCTGCTGCGACGTCCGTGTGGTTGACGATTTGGGACTTTCCTCCAAGAGCACGAAGTAGCGCAAGGGAAGGGAGCCAGCAACCTCCAGCAGTACCACCACTAGCACTACCAGCAGTACCACCAGCAGTACCACCAGCAGTACCACCACCAGCACTACCACCAGCAGTACCACCAGCACTACTACCAGCACTACCAGCAGTACCACCAGCAGTACCACCAGCAGTACCACCACCAGCACTACCACCAGCAGTACCACCAGCACTACTACCAGCACTACCACCAGCAGCACTACCACCACCAGCAGTACCACCACCAGCAGTACCACCACCACCAGCACTACCACCAGTACCACCAGCAGTACCACCACCAGCAGTACCACCACCAGCACTACTACCACCACCAGCAGCAGTGGTAGCAGCAGCAGTGGTAGCAGCAGCAGTGTGTGCGAGTGTCCCACAAGGAGGCGCGGTGGTTTTATCGTCTCGGCTGCCCCCCCCGCTCGCCCTCCCCTCCGGGGCTCGCGGGAGCCGCGAGGGCCGCGCCGCGCCCCCCCCCGCCGCCTCTGCGCGCGTGGGAGCGGCCGCGCGTCCGCTCGGCCGCTCCGCCTTCATGCCGTGACCAGCAACAGCTGAGAGGGCATGGGAGCGACACTCACAACAACGAAGCGGAGCGCCGGGCCGATAAAGTGCTGCGAGTTTGCGCAGTGAGGGGTGGGGGGACTATATACTATTAAAAAACTGATAGCTCAACAAAGCGGACGCATAATGTGTAAATGTATAGCAGCCAAATAATATAATCTAAATTAATAGCACACAGCTGGAGCGTCTGCCATCGCATCCCACGCAGCCAACCCACGGCACCCGCGGACACCTCGACGCGACCCCAGCGTGCGCCGAGGGTGGCACAGCCATCGTGGTGCCGTCGCCGCCTCTTTAAGGGCCGAACGACGGTGGTTTGTTTACGTTGCGCAAACATCAGCACTGCGGGAAGACAAAGGCGGCCGGGCGTGGTGCTGGTCACGCGCCCCGTCGCGTGCAGTGCTGGCCTTCATAGGTGCTGCTACTCGCTACTCACAGCACTTGCCCCACCGATAGGCTTGTGTTTTTTGAAGGCTATACGGGGAATCGTTGTCTCTATTAGCATGTTTAGTGAGGGTGATGGGTGGAAATTCAAGAGCGGTGGGAGAGTAACATTGAGACTTGGTGAGAGTATCCTGGTGAATGTCAGTGTATGGTCGAGGTGGTGAGAATTAGAATATTTATTTCTACTGCAGGAGGAATCCGATGAGCTGTAAAGCTCGCTATTCACAGATGTCCAGTAGGGGCACGGGCGCACGAACGTTACAACAACAAACAGGACAACTACATGATAATAGTGTAAATTACAAGCAAGGTCAACAAATCACCCAACACACAAACACAGATACACCACTAAACCATCCCCATCCTACCAGGCCTCTGAGCTTTGAAACTATTTTTCAGAAGCGACCTGGCTACCACAAATGATCGCTCACCAAAGTGGCTCCCATCATTTGGATGACAACTGTTGCGTTGTGAGGACGGTGGAGTGGTAGCGAGCTTCAGCCATTCTAAATCCACCGATGGACGAAGCCGTATCCACGCTGCATTTAAGAGCGTCGTATTTTCACCATACTTCACCACGCTGGTCAGTATGGCTTGGTGAAGGGAATGATGACAGGAGTATAAAACAACAAAAATAAAAAAAAATTCACGACGTTTCGGCCACAACACAAGTAGCCTTCTTCAGGTGAAGGAACAGAACTGTCGGGACGACAGCGCTTCAATGAACGCTGCTAAGATTCGCAGCGTCTTTTAAGTTAGGTGAGAGAAGTAAAGCGCCTTGACAAAGGAGTTTACATATCAAACAGGAGAATTTAGCATTGTTGTTCCTTCATCTGAAGAAGGCAACTTGTGTTGTGGCCGAAACGTCGTGATTTTTTTTATTTTTGTTGTTTTATACTTTCACATGACTTTACCGAATAGAACCTTGCAGTCACGAACGCTTCAAATCTAGAGATGACAGGAGTGTTCCGATATCACGAGAGTTTGTGTTGTCGAAGCAGCTTAGAACTCAAAAGAGTTCAGGTTGAAGTCGCATTTGCGAGAGTGAACTGGGTCACCAACATTACAAAAATGATAACATCACAACAGAAAGTACAACAGTAAAGTGAGTAGAAATCAGAGCAAAGAACAATCAACGTACAGAAATAAATCGAAAATTGCCACTCATGTTAGCCGTGGCTGGGATTTGAACCCAGATGGAGGCTTGGAAACCCGCACCCAGTCACGGGACTATTTTTCAGGTGAATCTTGCATTGATTTTTTATTTAAGATTATTACAGGGAAATTGAGTGTTCAGGTCCATACGGCGTGCAACCGTTTCAATACGGGCAAAAAATAATTCACACGGCCGAGTGCGTGAATCCACCTTTCAAACAAGCAGCAGCATCAGCATGCACGATCACAGACAGTAGCATGATAAGTCGCATCATCGACACCGATTATCAGTTTTTGTTTAGCAACAGAATTTTGTTTATTTATTAGTGTTTCTCCCTTGTGATGGGACTTTGTAGGATGAACGCTGAGATTTATAACGGCCCGGGGTGACCAATGAGGTCTGAATTGGTCTGTAATAAGATAGGGCACTGACAAGGGGTTGACAGCTGTGCGTTTATCATGCAAGTGGGAGGAGAACCCCCACTACATCCCCGTACAGACAGCGACGAATAGCGATTGGTCCACACTTGCTGGAGTTCCACAACATTCTTGCGGTGATCCACCAACCCCTCGTTACTGCCCGCGCAGTGCTGGGTCACAGGGCAGCAGCGGTAAACACCGCCACCACCCACCACAGCCACCACCCGGCTACCGGTAGCAACACGTGGCCTGTAGCAGCTGCAGCTGCAGCAGCAGGCATGCGGTCTCAATTTAAAAGTGCTGCCGAATTGTTTTCACAGGTTTCGCTCGGCTCCAGCAAGCATGGAATATGTGACAGGACCTCACTGTACGAGCACGCTGCCCACTGGTGCGCGCTGGGTGAGCGATGGAATAATAATGCACGCGACAAGTTACCACCGACTCGAGTTTCCCAAGGGCACTTAGAGGTTAGAAAAAAATGACAAAAGGTTAACCCGTTCGTCAATAACGCTGGCTCCCACAGAGGGAAATAATATAACGGGCGACGTTTCAGGCAATGGTCCTGCTTCATAGTGGGAAGATCGAAAGGGTCGAGAGAGACTGAATAATAGCTGGAGACTGCACTTTACACAGCACGTGGCCCTTATGGAAATGTAATGTTCGGTGTTTCAAGATTAACGTTCCTGGCACGTGAGCAACGGATCAAACCGGTAGTTATTTAGTAACAAAGGGGCCGTCCATAAATGACGTCACGCGATTTTGGACGATTTTGACCCCCCCTCCTCTCGTCACACAGCGTCACAAAAAGTCAGACCCCCCCAAATATGACGTCACAAAGCTCTGCCCCCCCCCAAAAAAAACATATTTCCATTTTGAAAATAAAACATGCTTCAAATCGCTTTAAACTATTGTTGTCATTGTAGTGCGTATTTAATGTGGCGCTGCACTCTGATGTAGGAGAAAACATTTATTAAAAACGAGGCGTTGGAAAGCTTAAATTTTGCATAATATTCACTTGAAAATATTCAACGTCTAACTAAAACTGCAGATGTTCAGAATATTATATTGAAATTATCTTATAATTATAAAATATTAAAAGTAATTATAACTATAAAAATACTTGAAACTTTGTGGTAGAACGAAGCAAAATGGAGAGTACAATTATAACAATCATATATTCTTTCCACAGAATGAAAAGCCCTGGTAGAAAATCATTAGAATCAAAATGTTTAATAACAATCATTCAAATTTTTTTTAAAATGTATGCTTCTCCATTCTCCCATGGAGAAGCAAAATGCTCCTTCATGGAATAAATAAAAGGTTAAATTAGTTAATTTAAATAATCAAATAGTTAATAATGAAAATTAATCAAAATTTGTGTTGTTATAACAATTCAATATTGTCTTCTTGGTTCTTTCGGTAAAGTCACGGAGAGTGGAAATAAAATAATAAAACATAGCTATTTCCGTGACATGCTAATCCCTCACATTAGCATCATGCTAATCTCCCAGTTACATGCTAATTTCTGACTTTAACACCCTGCTGATACAACACTTTAACACAGCTATTTCAATGCTAAATTCTCCTGTTTGATATGTAAACTCCTTTGTCAAGGCGCTTTACTTCTCCCACCCAGCTTAAAAGACGCTGCGAATCTTAGCAGTGTTCATTGAAGCGCTGTCGTCCCGACAATTCTGTTCCTTCACCTGAAGAAGGCTACTTGTGTTCTGGCCGAAACGTCGTGAGAATTTTATTTTATCATGTTTTATTTTTATTATTTTATTTCCATTCTACGTGGTGACTTTACCGAAAGAACCAAGAAGATGGATCCTTGCAGTCACGAAAGCTTTAAATCTAAATTCAATATTGATTTATAGTTGCGCATTTTTATGTGACGTCACATTTCTCAAACCACCCCCCCCTCGTCACACATCGTCACAAATGTCTGACCCCCCCCCCCCCCAGGTGCATGACGTCATTTATGGACGGCCCCATAACCTTATATTGCCAAAATAAATCACTGAAATTACTTTCATCTTATATACATTTCGCTTATATTGTTGGCTTTATGAGACATACCATAGACATTGAATATTAAATATGTATGTATTTATCTTTCAGATATTGACGGTACGTGTTAAGTAAACGTTGGCAGTGATTCTAAATGTGGATCAATTGAACAGTGTATAAACGACTCTGTTCCCTTTCTGTAGATTTAACTTTGTGTCGTGTTATCCCATTGTTTCATGTTATCCCATTGTTTCATGTTATCCCATTGTTTCATGTTATCCCGTTGTTTCATATTATCCCGTTGTTTCATGTTATCCCTTTGTTTCATGTTATCCCATTGTTTCATGTTACCCATTGTTTCATGTTATCCCATTGTTTCATGTTATCCCATTGTTTCATGTTACCCATTGTTTCATGTTATCCCATTGTTTCATGTTATCCCTTTGTTCCATGTTATCCCTTTGTTCCATGTTATCCCTTTGATTAATGTTATCCCTTTG